CAATATGCGCAAAGTTGACACTTATACTTCACAGCTGGACAGATAACCTGCTGGGTTGGCGGAACTAAGCGTGCCAGGACGACCTTGTTGGGCGCAGACGTTTCTTTCTAGACTGTTCGGTTAGGTTAGTCGGCTCTTCGCAGTCGGACCTTTCTCGTACAAAATCGGATAGAAATTAAAATGTTGAGCTAATTTCTTCATTCGCCGCCCAGTCCTTCGGTAACTGCCCAGTGGCTTTGAGACCGGCTAGTGTCCATCGCGCTGGAATGTCTTACATGCTCAGTGGCTCTGGATAGTTAACACTGATATAGTTATGTAGTTGGTATGCTGCATTGGGCTTCAAATATGTGTATTAGAGGGCAACCATAGCTCATTTGGTGGGACATTAGGCTTCTGCGGAAGTTTAGAGCTAGTCTGATATCAATGAATTCTTTTCTGAGTACTGCAATTGTCGGTGTACTTAGACATCGAGAACGAGGGGTGGGTAAATTGTTTCCGATTCCGGGTACTTCGGTTAAGCGAGTTTGTTACTTGAGGTGCTTACTTCAATTTGTTGTGTGAGGGCGACGGTGGTGTTGTCATCAACGAGTGCCAATATCCCCTGACCTAAACCGGTTAGAAAACGAACTCGTGGCTCAATGGTTTGACTCCAATAAATAAGGTCGCGAGTTCGAGGCTCGAGTAGCTCACCACTTGGGTCTAGATATGACTGGCTGAAGACGGCTAATAAGCCAGAAATGGCCATTCTAGTCTCTCTTGTCTTTGCCGTCAATATCACTTACCTAGACTACCAGCTGCTACGACTGACAGGACCTCTGTCGAGGCACAAGGCAGAGCGGGACAGATGAGTCCCATTAGCGGTCGGGTGAACTTTCATCAAAGACTGTCATGAGGCCTTGATCGAATTTGTAGCCTGCGGCTGTTGGGCCATAAGTTCGAGTTCTCGAGATGATCATCCTGAAGTTACTTTTGAAATAAATGAAGAGACGGATATCTCTCCCTTGCAGGCACCTCACTCGGACCCAAGCGTTTTTTCTTCCAAATATTGACCATACAGACTAACTCATTTATTTCGTTGGTTTTTGTTAGTAGTCTGTAAGAGCTGGCGGCTGCGCTCGGATCAGTGTCAGTGGCCTTAAGTTTAAGAAACAGTAAAGGCAAGAGGAAAAGATTTGAATTGCGATTTTCGGGTAACAACAGTCTGTGAAGAGGAGTACACTGACATACTTGAATTTGGCGTGGACCATTATAAACATGGGAGAGACTACTCAGTCGTGATGACTCATATCAGAATTTGTTGTTTCTAGCACTGAGCACATCTAGTGCGGTGGTCTTCACACCGCGGGTCGTTTGATGCTGACCCAGAGCTGGTATCGGTAGTTTTTGATGATGACAAGCTGGAATTTTTCCAAAAGTCTAATGCTTAGTGAACTTACTGCAGTGAATGGTTTTCTACTTTGTCAGATAGTTTTCAATAAGTGTAGGAGACCGGCGAGTTTGACGCTTTAAAAGTAAACGTTTGTCGTCCAACATTAAACTACCATATCCAGCGTGCATCTATCAATGTGCCCATCGAAGGCATGTTAACTCAACAGCAGTTACAAATTCAATTGTGGATTTCTGGCTAAGTCCACGCCACTATCCCGGTTTGTGATTGTAAATTCCCTTAATCCTTCGGGGATCTGGCCGCTTGCCAGATAACAGAGTCCTGTAAGAAGACGACAGCTACTTGATGCGATAGACTGAGCAGTTTTTGGGCAGCCAGTCAAATTGTAGCTTGATTTCTCATCGGGTCGCCTTCTTAGTCTACAAGCACGACGATACTGACACCACAACCACCGGTATTTATTGTCAGCTGACAACTTGAAGCAAAACTCCCTGCAACTACTCGGCCCTTGTGTATACTCGTGTGCAGTTATCCCCAGTTGATTTGCTTTATGCAATTATACCGTTCCCGACAGAGAATAAAGGAATTATACCGCGTAGGGTGTTATCTTTCGGAAATTCACCAATAATCGTAAATCCCGGTAGTCGAGCAGTCCAGTAGTGACTTTGGCAGTACGTAGCTCAACCAGTTTCCCCTCTGGAGCCTTCGGTGTCTCTTGAAGAAGCTTTTAAGTCTGCACCGCCCATCTGAATTATCCAGCTTGACACTTCGGGTAACTGGAGCACAGTAGTGAGTGCTCATGTGATAGGTAAGCTTATAAGCATAGCATGCCCTATTATTGATGTCAGTCTCCTCATAAAGGAAGTTAAACTTCACACACTTTGCCTGAAAGTCCTCTTACCCGTTAGTCTCATATAACTCATAAACTAC